GATGAACAGGAGAAAACCAGGAGAAGATAGAATAAGCATGTTATCCGATGATGTTCTGTGTCACATACTTTCCTTCCTTCCAACCAAGGAAGCCATCGCTACATCATTGTTGTCCACAAGGTGGAGATTTGTGTGGACTCTCGTTCCATCTCTTCAAATTCAGTGCTTGAAACCAATCATGAAATTTTACGACAGAATCAACACATTCTTGGATCTACGCAGAACAGAAAAAATAACAAGGTTTCACCTCAAATGTAACCGCCATGCATGTTGCTCACGTTACTTGGAAGAATGTGTTCGTGCAGTGGTTGCCAGAAAAGTTGAACAACTCTATATCTGCTTGTGCACGTGCCATAGAAGCGAGCTTTGGTTCTCTTCTTCCACGTTGTCCACATGCACCACAATTGTCACATTGAAAATTCATGGCAAATTTGATCTCGGGATTCCTTCATCAATCCATCTTCCTAGTATCAAGATTTTGGACCTAACCGTAAGCGAATGCATTCCTTTTTCTCGTATCAAAAATCTTATCTCTGGCTCTCCTTCTCTTCAACTATTTCACCTCAAGCAGCAACGGCATAAGCATCATAACGTGGAGTTTAACATCACTCAAAACTCGAGACATTGCCGACTCTTTAAAAGAAGCTGGTTTTATGGTCGTCGAATTTATGACTTGGAAATACAAAGTCATCCTCATCATAACTTTATATCAGACTATATGGAAGATCGATGGCTAAACATTGTCAAAGCCAAGGTTTATATCAAAGTGTATAAGGGAAATAAACACTCTTATGTGAAAAAAACTGTTATCAAAACTTTGCAAGGATTAAGTAATGTTGAATTTCTGTCTTTCAGATATTTGAGAGTAAATATGGACTTCACTGTTTTCGAACTTCCACTGTTTAAAAATTTAGTTGAACTTCGAATTTTTCTTAAAAAGACTCGGTCTTTATATGTGGAACTTCCTCAAAGGTCTCCCCAGCTTCAAGTTCTTCTCGCCAAGTGCCCCAAGCTTCAAGTTCTCGAATTTAATTTCATACGTCATGAGTATCAGACTAATGGTAGATTAAGGGATCAATTGTTACCATTTAACTAATTTGTCCATCTATTTTATGCCAACCCACGTTTCGTTTTCATATTATTTCTGTCATTATATATATATATAACAACTATATATATGGTTTTTTCTTCTATTGTTTCCACTCAGTTCTATTGCTAGGCTAAGTATAGCTAGTTAGATTTTTGAGTTCTTGATACCTAAAAATCACATGTTTTTTTGCAACGCAATGCAGTACAAAGCGTTTCGTCCTGTTTTCGGTAAAATAATAATAATAATAATAATAATTTTAAAAATCACGAATTTGGATCATACATGAAACCTGTCTTTCAATCCTAATTCACAATCAATTTGGTTCCCAATTTTTGAATTCATAGATTATGTCTTTCCTTCTAGGAATGGGTGAAACGGGATGAATAAGTGAGACTTAAGAATGGGGATGGAGGGGGACACAGAAAAAAATAAAAATATTTTAAATTTTTTATAATTCAGTCAAAAGTTAAATGGGGGGGAATTAATAGAAAATTTTAAACTAGAAGAAAGGAATTAAGGTGGCTGAAAGTTTTAGATGGAAAGGAATTCGTCCATTAAAAAAAAAAAAAAAAAAAAAAAAAAAAAAAAAAAAAAAAAAAAAAAAAAAAAAAAAAAAAAAAAAAAAAAAAAAACTCCCACTCAAACGAGCTAGGGATTAAATTTTTGAGGAAAATTATATTTCAAAAGGAATGAATCCCAATATATTAAATACAAACTCTTATTTTATTAGAGTTTTTTTAGGTTTTTTTTTCGAAGAAAGAGTTTATGAAGAATTTTTAATTTTTTTAATTTAATTCCATTTTTATTTATTATTATTATTTATGGATTAAATATTAATATTATAAAATATCTTATTGATAAATGATTTTATGTTACAATATAAATTTTTTATCATAAATTTAAATATTTAAAATATATATCAATTCTTATATATTAAATACGAATTGTTATCTTGTGCAAAAATATTTTTAGAAAATTTTCTTTAATGAGAGAGTTTGTAGACATTCTTTTAACTTCTTATCAAATTCAATATTTATTTATCATAATTATTCATAAATTAAATATTAATATTTTAAAATAAATTATCAATAAATAAAAATAAATTTTTGCTACAATATAAATTATTTAAAATAAATTTTAAATATAATTTAAATGTTTAAAATATCTATTTATATATTTATTTATTTAAATATAATTTATATATATACAAAAATTATATTTATTTATCTATAATTTATTATAAAATTTAATTATATATAATAAACATAGATATATATTGCATATACTAAAATACTAGTTAAACAGAAATCTCTATAGAAGAAAATATTAAAATGAGAAATTAATTAAATTAAATAGATTGAAAATTAGAAAACTTAATTACGATTTATTGTTAGATAATATTAGTAATTATAAATACTTAAGAATAAGAAGTTTATTAATTAATTAGATAAATTTGGTAAATTAGTATAAAAGAATTATTAATATAAATGTACATATGAATACTTAAGTTTACTTAAGTTTATTAGACTTTTTTTTGTATAACAGCTAAATATGACTTAAATATAATAAATGATAATTATTTTTATTCTATGTAATGTTAGTATCTATGAAATATCCTTAATATAATTGTAATTTTATTTTTTTATTCTTGATATCAAGTTTCAATAATTGATAATATAAGAAAAGTATTTTTTTTTTAGTTGAGATTTGCAAAATTAAATAATGCTAACTAATTTTTTAATTAGTATAAAAATTAGTTAAATTCAAACCTTCATGAAAATAGTTTTGGTGTTCGACAAAAAATAGATTTGATAATTAGGCCCAAAAAACTATATAATAGTTAAATTATTTTTGAAACCTAGATCAATATTACATTTACTCAATACCAATACATTGATATTATGGACAAAATGATTACTTTTGTGGCCTCCCAGAATATTACCTGGATTGTTACATGGGATTATATCTTCAGTAGGCACTTGTATTGAAGATTTTCTAAGATTTGCTTCTACTAAAACAGTTTCATTTTTTGGAGATGATCTAAGAGCTTTATAATTGTAGTCTATTTTAGTAACTTTATAATAGATTCTAAAAATAAGTTGTATTGGACCAGAATCTTCATTTAAGATTTCATCTGGAATTTTTACATATAATTTTAGAGCATTATTTGTTTTAGTATTTCTAATGTTCATAGAGAAGTTTGGATAACAGTTAAAGAAGGCATGACCATCATGTAAATTACTTTCTAATATTGCTATAATAGAATCTTGAAATTGTTTCATTCAAATATCTCGTAATAATAATAGTATTGGATTGTTTACACCTAATCTATAATTAGGTTTAACAGCTACTTGAATTAATCCTAAATGCATATAATTATAACCCTTTTTTATATGTTCATCTAATATACTTTGTTGTAATAAATTAATAGTTTTGTTGGTTTTAGTTCCTGGATAACAAAATTCTGAGATATGAATTTCATCTTGATTTGTTGACCAAATACTATGTTGTTTATAGACTTCACATTTTTTAACAATAGGTATTGACCAATTATGAAGAGAGTTTTCTATTTCTGCTATCTGTATTTCTGCTTGAGAATTTTCTTGAGAAGTACTTGGGGTATCTTCTAGGGTATTGGGAGTTCTCATAACTATTTGTTTATTTTTGTTTTTGGTTTCTAAACTGCTAAATGTTTCAAAAAGTCTTGATAATTTTGAAGGTTCTTTGACAATGGTAAAGGTGTGGCCTCTATCCATGGCTTACCAATGGGTTTACTACCTCACTAGGCTTTACTATCGGGAACACCAACAAGAGTGTATAACCTTGGTCTCTACTTCCCCCCAAAGAAGATTCAAAATATCAACAATTTTTGAAATAAATAACAGAATTTGAACACAAATTCAAGAATAAAACAAACAGTTATTAACTTAATATAAATCGGATCAAGAAAAGGTGGCAGAGCCTCCTAGTTATGATCAATTTATATTAAAAGTTTAAAAAGTATTGACGGTATCAGGCTCTGATATCAATAAGGGAAGCGTGACATTATAAACATATTGATTATATTGATACAGAGTAATAGAAATATGAAGATATGGATAATCATGAAAAGTAATATGAAGATGACTATTTTCTAGAAATATCAACATAATGAGAGACTTGCAAAGATTTCAGATGGATAGCAGATTTTGAAAAGGAGAATTTTATTTGAAGATTGAAGCTTACTAGAATACTCGATGATTTACAATGAAGGAGAACTCCTCCTTATATAGACTATCTAAGACCTACTAATTTACTTAGAGGGTAGTGACTCATACAATTAATTAGAGCAGAACAAGATGACACTCAACCCGAAGAAACAGGTTCTTCGGATTCAATTTCAACCAGTCCTTATCTTCGCAATGAAGATATGTTTGACTGAAACAAAAGTTACTTGGGTGGATTACAAATTACTTGGTCTGATGCTTAATATAATGTTATAGTTCATGTCTTCTACTATATCAACCTGTTCGTGTTGTGTTCTTTTTTCTAGTGTATAATGCTTCAAATTAATAATAGTTATATATATTGTAATATATATCGATTAACTCGAACAAAGTTAAATATTTAATTTAGAAAGTTCCTATTTCTAATATCTAAGAACAAGGAAGGCCGGTGATAATATGTAGATATTTCTGGTTAGCAATATATGAAACTAGAATAGCCGAGAACTGTCGGTTAATATCAGGTTTTTCTTTTCATCGGAATACTAGATTAAATTGAATTCAAACAACATGAACAGAGTGCAGTAAAAATGTATGTAGATACTAGATATATGCATACGAATGCATTAATGGACAACAAGATAATGGCTTCGTCTCTTGACCGATTGTTAACCGAAGTACTAAGGCTATTTCTAACTATGGTTGTTTTAGATCAAAATTGATAGATCGTGCACCATTGTTCTTCCACTGATATTATGTGAACGCCTCGGACGATCATCCAAGATATTGAGTTGAGTAACTTGAAGCTTAGGACACTTGGCCGGAAGTTCCTTAATCAAGGAGTCATCTTTTTTAAGAAAAAGTCGTAACTCAACTAGATTCTTAAATAGTGGAAGATCAAGAGTAGAAGGATTAATGTGATCTCTAAAACATTTCAAAGACAGAAACTCAACATTACATAGTCCACGAAGAATGTTGCAAGCTGTCTCTTCCATATCACAAGACAATGTCAAATAAACCTTGGCTTTGTCAATGTTTGGCCAACGATGAATCTGCATGGAGTCTGGGATAAAATCATAATCCCTATCATATTGTATGAGAATGTCGTAAAGCGAGTTGCAATAGAGGAGTTGGATATAGCGAGAGTTACGCACAATCATCAGTTCTTTGAAATAAAAGAAATACTTGAGTCGTTTCAGGTAAAACCGTTGAAGAGTTGGAGATCCAGAGAAAAGCTTGTTAACATTTAGGATGCCGAAACATGCGAGTATATTTAGGTGCAAAGTCTTGAGATTAGGGAGATGAACAGAAGAAGGAATAATGATACTAAAGGAACCCTCGAGCTTCATGTTGACAATTGTGGCGCAAGTGAACAAGGCAGCAGTCACGTCCAACGCACTTCTAAGGCTCATGGAGATATTCACTTGTTCAACTTTTTTAGCTACTACTTCAGAAATCCATTGTTCCACGTAACGTGGGCAACAATCATCATAACTATTGCATTTGAGATGAAAGCTTGTGATCTTTTGTGTTCTGCGTAGAGCCAAGAACGCATTGAGTGTCTTGTAGTGATTCATGATTGGTAAGGGGCACTCAATGTGAAGAGATGGAACCATGGTCCACACAAATCTCCATCTTGTGGACAACAAAGATGTGGCAATGGCTTCCTTGGTTGGAAGGAAGGAAAGGATGTGACATAGAACATCATCTGATAACTCGCTAAGTCTATCCCTCCTTTACAGTTTTTCTCTTTTTCCTCATCACTCTCACAACTAACAGTAGGGCTTAGGGAAAATCAATTGCTAATACCTGAATAATAATAGAACGCAGTGTTGAGGTAAAATTAATTTGAATATTGTATATCCCTACTGATCGAGCAGAATGATCATGAATTTACAATGCTATATATACATGTATTGACATAACTTCAAAATTTAAAATTATGATACCTGATTTTATTCATGTTTAAATTTGATTTTAAAATTAAAGATATAATTGATTTTTTTAATCCATAATGATATAATTACTTTTTGAGACAAGATATGATTATTCTGCTTTAGATTAAAAAATCATGTATATGTAACAATATTTTATCTTAACTATTTAATTATCATAAAGAATACATAATTAAGGTAATTATAATCAATCTGATTTTAATATATAATTTGAACATTGAAATTGATTATACAAATATATTCTTATTCAAATTAATTGATAATACAAATTAATATTTTAGCTTTTTTTATTTACTAAAAAGTATTAATCTTTCTTACGAGTTTAACAGGTATTAAATAAGTAAACATATATTAATTGTTTGTATATATTATACAAATACTTATTTTATATAGTTATAATTTAGGAGAATTTGAATCCAAACCCATGGAGAAAATGAAAGTTTGATCCAGATTCTTAACCACTTGTACTCCACGTTGATAAGTATTTTTAATATAAATTTTATTATAATTAATATTCATCATAAATAAATATTTTTTGAACATAAAAATTATATTATAGATTTATAATAAATAATTTATATATTGTAATATATAAGGATATTTTTAATTATTGATATTTCTTTTTAAATTAAAATCCACCTCTATATATTATACATGAATGATTATCTTACATAATGTTTAAGGGTTTCTCAATAAGGAGAGCCTTTATAGACATTTTTCTTTAATAGGAAGGATTTTATAGATTTTTTTAACTTCTTATCTATTTTAATTTAGATTTATCATATGTATTTTTAAATTAAATTTAATAACTTTAAATAAATCTAGTCTTCTGAACACAAACAACTTTGCTAGAAAGGTTTATAAAAGTTTTCCTTTAACAAGATTGTTTTTAGGATTTTTTTTCTTTGATAAAATAGTTTTTTTTTATGAATTATTTTAATTTCTTATCTTATTCAATTTTTATCTATAATTAGTATTTTAACTCATATAATTGCACTATGTATTAATTCCTAATCGACTAGCTATAAAATAAGTTTTTGCTTTATTTCATATAAACTGTTTATTTATTTAGACATGAAGCATATGTGCAATACAAAGGAGAGCCAAGGCAAGTTAACACAACCAGTTGATCGAATCTAAATAAGATTCAATACTTCTCCGACAAGGATTTGCATTCTACCTTTTACATAGTAATCATCTCATACGTGACTCGTAATCCCATCCTTATTAAGGTACAAGAAAAGTAAAGAAAGAAACCATCTATAAAATAAATTTCTCTAATTTGTATAAGTTTTTTTTATATAATTTATGCAAAAACTTATTTTTTAAAACTTATACATGAGTTACTTTTAGTTATAGAGAAATTTATTTCATTTTTCTCTTTTAATTTATTTTGTGGGTATCATGCATCAGACCAGTGAATGTTTAATTGACCCCAGTCACACATTTTGGAATACCCAAAGCCTTCCAAACAGCTTTAGAGGCATCAACAACATTGTTAGGGCATGGAGGCTGGAAATCATGTTGAGCATCACAGCCTGTTGTAGAATCACACTCATCAACAACCAAGGCATGGACCCTTCTTCCATTTGAAAAGATGGTGATGTTATGATGACACCTCTTTTTATTGTTGAACCATCCAGTTGATAATGCCGCAACTGGAGTGTTGTCTGAGTGAAACTTTTGGTCACATTCTGAAGGGCCACCTCCATCCCCACCTTTCTCAAAGCTATTTAGGGTTAGGACTGCCTTTGTGTGGTGAGACACAGGTGGGGAACACTTGAATGTGGGATAAATCTTTCCCTTTTTGCAACATTCCGACTCATTCTCTCTATTGCATTTTCCTGCTGGTGCCTTTTTCCCACTTATCCTTCCACTAGCCCTGCAACTACCACCTTCAATGCTCAACCCTAAGCTTGCTACAACAATAAGAACAAAGTTCTACACATTTTGAACTTCATCAGTTCCCTTTCTTCCTCTATCTCTGGATGTTGTGTAGTTAAAGTATAATTAGCAGGGGGGTATTTATAGAGATACCAAGCTCAAATAAGACATTCCTAATTAGTTCATTTCTCTTTTTACAATCCATTGAACATTGTTAAACTGTCACCACGTATTTATTGCTTATGAATATGTTTATGTCGCCAACAATAAAATAAAACATAGTTTTACTTAGCATATATGTTACAATCTTGTTTTTATCGCCCGCTGCTAACCTTAGTAAAATGCAACGATTTCTTTTAATATTAAATGAAAGTTTATAAATTAATTAAGCGTACGTTAATTATCTTGACCTTGACACATGTTCGGGTAAATTATTCTCATCAACTTTAATATAAATTATAATTGGAGTTGCAGCAAATAAGTTCCAAGATTGTGTGATCAACTTGCTAGAACATGTTATTCCTGTTTTCATGTATTAGTAAACATCGATAGTGTTAGTTATCTACTGACAATCACTGACAAATATAATGGAACCATGAGTCATGATCTATTTATTGATTCCCATAATGAGAACAAATATTATTGTGTTCAGATTATAATTAGTATCACATAAGTCGATTTTTTTTTTTTCTCAACGTTAATAACACATGCCACCGATGTTCATAATACAAAATATTTTAAGATGTTTTTCTTCTACAAATTAAATGCAGAATTACATACAGGTACTTAAGATTCGGAATACGGTTGGAATGTTGTAATTGGCATTTTGTCGACATGGTAGTCAGCCTCAGCAACATAAAATTCACCACTTTTATTGCCTTGAAAGCCTTAAAAAAAATTAGGATTAGCCTAATAGTTAAAGAAAAAAGTGTTGTGATAATAGAAACATGTTGACCAATTGAGGAGGGATCCGTTTACTTGAATAATCATAAAATCATTTTATATGTTAATTTGAATTAATGAAACGAAGTATTAAATGATTTTTAATTTTTTTAAAAAAATTACAAACTTGATTTATGCATTAAGAACTTTAAATTTAACGATTGAATTATTAAAATTTAATGTAGAACAGAAGTTATTAAACATAATAAGTTTAAATAGACTTATTCTTAGAATAAATAAATCTCTTCTATGTATATATGTATAAAGATCGAATTTTGGTCCCCTAACCTCTTTCCCGTCAATCATTAGGTTAACTCTAATATGTTAACCAATTATATGCCTATAATATAGGAATCAAACAATTTACTGAATGTAAGGGAGGTGTATTGGGCAAAATCATAATAAATGAAGAGTAATCCTCATCTTACAAGTCGATTTTATTTATAAGAGAATCTTAGTCGATTTTGTCTATAAAAGATGATTCCTTAGACAGAATTTGTCTCTTCTCTTAGCCGATTTTGTATAAGAGAATCTTATATATATAAATGATTTGTGTAAATGCATGCCAATGGTTGTTTCCATTCCGTAGAATTCCAAAGCTGATAATTGCTTTATTTGCTGGAAGACAAATATGTATATTCCGGTCAATGATTCTTTTATTAAACAGGCATCCAATCAGAAATTCCAAACATTAGTTGAGAGATCCTCCTCGAAACCAATAACAATAATTCTTTCTCTCGTATGGTGTGAAAGAATGTGTTAATGGCATCATCAGTGGAAGTTAACGAAACAGGATTTAGCACTATAGCTGTGCGAACAATACAAGGCAAACCCGTAGCTAGGTAATGTTTATTATCGGATTAAGCTTCAACATGAACAATTTAATTTAATTTTCAAATCAAAGTTTGCATTGAGATCAATTTTCTTTTAATAATGATATTGTTGATATAAAACATGTGATGGCTTTGTTGATATATAATCTCCGAATTTTATTAATATCACTTTTATTTCATTCTCATTATGTTTCAACTACATTTTTATTTTCATTTATAAGATTAGAATCGACACCATATTTTAAAAAATCAAGTCTAATATGATTCAAATTTAAGGTGATATTTTTTTTTATATTAAATGTCATGCTACTAATGGTATTGTAGTATTGTACATCTTAGTTAACTTTATAAACGAACGAAACATGAAAATCGCCATGGTTTGGCTTTTTTTTTTTTTTTCTTTTTTGAAAGGGTTATGTTGAGCAATGTTAGAAGAGCTAATATGTTCATTCTGCACGTAATTAAATAAGGCGGGGGTGTTTGTGCGACAAGTTTAATTACGTGTCTTAATCATATCGAAAATTTTGTAAGAACGTTCATTTAAACTTAAATGTAACTTAGGTAAGACATGATATATACTATCACTACAATAAAATGAATTTTTAATGGCATTTAATATGACTTTTAGTGGCAATAAAAATTGTTACAAATTCTTTTACCGGCATTTCACACATTAGTCATTGTATGCGGTGTTGCTAAAATATTTACCGGCAATTATTCTAAATGCTGGTAAAGACCCTCATAATGGTCGGGAAAAGTGTATAACTTTTGTGTCATTTGTTATTGGCATTTAAAATTGTCGCTAAAAGTTTAAGAAAAGATTTATAATACTCTTTAATTATCTAGTCGATGTAGGACTTGTAAGATGAGTACAAATACTCTTTCGTTACCTTATTTCTAATTGATGTGGGACTTAGAAGATGAAGGTTATCTTCTAAGTATATATTTTTTAATTTTTTAATTACCTTATCTCCTAAATACCAACTTAGAATAGTAAGTTAT